CATGTTTGTGTGACAGGGTGTACAGAAATCTGGGCAAAAGTATGCATGTCTGTGTTACTGTATACGTGTGGTACAACTCAGATATGGATGTCTGTGAAATCATACATTGGTTTTATAGTAGTTACTGACAAACTCATAGTAGAGCCTTAATAATTTATAGTAATCACTATATAGTTCATAGTCATTACTGAATAATTCATAGTAGTTACAGAGTAAATTGTAATAGTTACAAAATAATTCTAGTAATTACTACAAATGTATAGTAGTACCTGAATAATTAATAGTATTTATTGAATAATTCATAGCAGTTCCTGAATAATTCATAGTATTTACTGAATAATTTATAGTAGTTACTGAACAAGTCATAGTATTTACTGAATAATTCATAGTAGTTACTGAATAATTCATAGCAGTTCCTGAATAATCTGTATTATTTACTGAATAATTCATAGTATTTACTGAATAATTCACAGTAGTTACTGAATCATTTTTAGTAGTTACTGAAGAATTTATGGAATGTTTTGAATAACATGTAGTAGTAAATGAAGTAGCCACTAAACAATTAATTATTTTTATTCAGAAAAATTGATACTAATTTATGAAAAATGTACGGTACTTATTCAATAATTCATATTAGGTATTGCATTCTGATCTCATTTGGTGAAAACTGAAATAAGCAATGGGAATTGGTATGGTAATTTTAATCTTGCTCAGCAGAGGGCGTAGTAGAATGGGGTGTCAAATGTTTCAAAGTACCAAACAAGTTTTGCTTTCAGCAGCTTGGTTCTGCTCATCTCTATATATGGCCTACCTTACTTTAATACAGACTGTACATTTAAAAAATAAAGTTAACACATTCTCTACAGAAAACACATTAATAGCACAAGAGCACATTAATGCGCAACTGTTGTTTAAGATATTGGAAAATATATATAGAACATGTACTGTGCAGATTACATCTTATATATTTTTTTTCCTCCATCTTAAACTTAGCAAGTAAACAGAAATTGTGCAGTAAAATTTCCCACATCTATGTGTGATCTCTGTAGAGGATGTGCTAACTTATATTTACTTAGAAAATCAACAAACCATGTTGTTTGAGTTGGGGTGTTCAAACATTTGCATTCAAGTCTATAAGGCCTCCTTGATGCAGTGTTACAGTTAAGTTAGGAACATTTAATCTTGTTGAAGACTGAGGCTGCGTACAGAACCACATACTACCATACTAAAGAGTATGTCAAAATAGTACACCACCCATAGTAATGCATTCAAAAATGCAATGCGTGCAGTATAGCTGTATACATGTACTGAGAAGTTCTATTTTTAAATCTGCTTTTGATATATAATGATTTAAAATGTTATCTACTCACCATAGTCACCCATTCTCCTACTCACTGTCCTGCAGCTCTAGATCTTCTTTCGGTTTCGCAGATTTTGAATGTCTGCAGCTGGTTTTAGAGTTAGAGTTAAAATTCAGCTCTATAACTGTATGTACTGTATATGTGAGCGGAAAAATAAGAGCTCTAGTAAGATCACTTCTTCTGGTAGAGTTTAAATATAGTGCATGGAAATGTTCCCTCCCCAGAGCTCTCAACACTTCATAGAGCTTGTGGTTATTCTTTTAGCTGTTAAGCTAACCACAGACTTCAAACTGCCTGAAATACAAAACTGAAAGCTCAACTGCTGCAGCCTCAGACTGAATGTAAGTCTGAGAGCCATGAAGACTAGATATGTAAACACAAACTGCAGATTTATGTGTATGTAGTGAAGTAAGAGCTTTCAATTCAATATAGCTCTATGGTCTGTGAAAAAGTGGGCCCCATGGGAATGAGGGGGTAGTTACGTTTTCCAAATGTGTTTTACTTATACAACAGTTAGTTCCGGCCACGCAGCTGTTGACAGCTGTAGGAGACGCTCAAGCCATTTGAACGTTTTTACTTCTTACTTTGCCACAAACAGAAAATGGACACTTTCAAGATCACATTTGACCGACAGCCGATTTGGTCAGACTCTGAAGATGAGACGACACTAAATTCCCAAACTGTCATCACCACTGAGCAGCTTTTCAGTCGGCAGCTGTGACAGAAGAACACCTAAACAACCTGGAATCAGCCAGAAATGAACCCACTACCATTCGCCAAACAAAACCGGCTGTAAGATGCTTTACAGACTGGCTGGAACAAAACAACATTAATACTGATCTGGCAAAAACTGACAAAACTGAGCTAAACTTGATATTGCGGCAGTTTTATGGCTCAGTCTGATTTGGTCAGACTCTGAAGATCAGACTACACGTTTGGCGAATGGTATTGGGTTCATTTCTGGCTGATTCCAGGTTGTTTAGCTGTTTTTCTGTCACAGCTGCCGACTGAAAAGCTGCTCAGTGGTGATGACAGTTTGGGAATTTAGTGTAAGGAGCTGGAGAACGAACTGCCAGCTGTGCAGCGAGTGGGCGGAGCTCGTTACTCTGACGTAGCAACAAGCTGGTTGTTAAGGAACTATAATTTGGCGGAAGGAACTGCAAACATTAAAACATATTAAATGCCACATTCACAGCCCAGTTTATTTATCTATTAGTTTATTTATTTAACTGTTGTATAAAAGCAATAGAACACTCGAGGAGTGTGTTATCGTTATAACATCACGGCTATGATGATCTACTGCAACCAAATCACAGCAGTGATGTCATTTCGCGATAACACACTCCCTCTTATGTTCTATTCCTTAAATAAAATCATGCTACAGCCCCACAGCAGTGCAGTTGTCATTCCAACACGTCTGCCAACAATAGCCAGAATATTAACATTTATAAAGTAGTAGTGTATCTTGCAAAAACAGTAAGTAATGTTGAATGTAACAAGTTACAAGATCAACGATGAACAATGAACAACACTAGTCAGTTTCAATGACTACATACATGCCATAATTCATTTTTATTGGAATATATTGTGCACAAAACAGCTTTCATGGTACTTAAAATTGATAATAATACAAATAAAAAAGTAGGAATTAGGAAGAAAAGAAAAAGAAAAAATAATAATGACAAGAATAAAAAAGTAGAAAAAAATACAGCAAATTCATCTTACGGGTCTGACAAGTCTGATTTCTCTCCACACACTCACGGTGTTACACTTCTCCAAATCACTCTCCTTAATAACAGTAGCTAATGTAAGCAATGTAATGGCACATAAATACAGAACTCAGCTGATTTGTGATGCTGTCTTGGTAATTAATGCATTGAGTTCTGCATAGCAAGTGGTGTTAGCTTTAGCTAAGATGTAGCCACTTTGATGGATTGCAAACTTTCTTTGAATATTAATTAGATACTAAAGGTAATTCATTTGAAGTTGTCTTTTCAGACTCCTGCCAGATTCATTGAACTGCCTCAATGAAAGAGTCTTAAAATACATCAATTACACATACAGATAAAACTGACACATAATTTTTATTTATCAAACACTACAACAATCACACATCATTTTTGGAAATGTGACATGTAAGCATATTAATAAAAGACTGCACTGTTGAATAATAGCTAGTCGATTATATATAAACGACATGTTCTTTATTAAATTGCTTGCTGAAAAGAAGTAAATGTGGACAGAGCTGAGAGGATAAGAGGTTGCAGAGGTTTCAAGAGGTTGAAAATAATGATTATCAAAAAGTTAATGTTAATGTTAATGTAACATTTATGTTGATGTTAACATTATGGGAAGACATGTCCAAATTAATTTATTTTTTGAATGAAAACATTAATTTTGTATTAATTCAGAAGTAATGAACATTCAACAGCCATGCATATCATACAATCATATATGCAATTTTCATCTAGTGCAGGACAATGTTATGTTAGCACCAAGCTAGAACTTGTGTACATTAATTGTCACATTTATGGCAGCTCTATCTTAAACCATTGATATTTGAAGTTTTTAAGATGTTTGAATAACATTCTTTACATTGTATCTGGTACATTTACAGTGAAGCCAAACTATGCGAGATGCCTGTCAGCCTAGACCTACTTAAACAAAGCTACATCACCCCCCCCAACACAAACCCCCCCCGCCCACACAATTTTCTCCCCAATTTAGTCATGTCCAATTCCATTTACTAGTTAAGACTCCCACAATCACACAATGCTACCAGTGCTAAGAGGGTGAAGGCTAACACAGGTTTCCTCTGATACCTGTGAAGCGCGAACTGCCACTAACCAAACGTCATTGGACAGCTGAACGCACTCGAAGAAGAACGCAAACTGCCAGTTCTGTTACGTCAGCTAGCAGACGTCTGCGCTGACTAGCATCATGCTGGGTGATGGGGGGAGAAGGGGGGGCCATCCTGCCCACCCAGAGAACAAGGCCAATTGTGCGCTCTTGGACTCCTGGCCACGGATGGCTGTAGCATCATCAGGGATTGAACTCATGATCTCCTGAAGATAGGGCCAATGATTAGACGGATGATTACACTGTTCGGGAGGGGGCGGCACGGTGGCGCAGTGGGTAGCGCTGTCGCCTCACAGCAAGAATGGCCTGGGTTCGATTCCCAGCCAGGCGACCAGGGTCATTTCTGTGTGGGGTTTGCATGTTCTCCCCGTGTCTGCGTGGGTTTCCTCCGGGTACTCCGGTTTCCTCCCACAGTCCAAAGACATGCAGCCAGGCCACTTGGACATGCTAAATTGCCCCTAGGTGTGAGTGTGTATGTCTGTCTGTCTGCCCTGTCCAGGGTGTATCCTGCCTTCCGCCCAATGACAGCTGGGATAGGCTCCAGCACCCCACCGCGACCCAGAAGGATAAGCGGTTTAGATGATGGATGGATGGATGGATGGACTGCTCGGGAGCCTCACAAAGCTACATCCTTAAGCAGGGAATTCTTAGTACAGCTTAAGGCCTTTTAATTCATATCATTGCAATTTGTGACTGTAAATATAAACAATATACCTCCATATTATATTTTATCACTGAACGTCTGTCTATAATCTTTACTTGTGTTCTTTTTGTGTTGTTTCAGACTCTCTAATTTGAGTCCTACTCATTTATCTACTTTTTTTTGCTTCATTTTCATTATTACTCCTAAACTTCTTCACTGCCAAGTTGATGCCTGATCCCACAGCCACTGCAGCACCTGCTCCTAGTACCACAGCTGGTAGTGCTACTAGTTCTGTTACACCCAGCACTACCCCACCAGCTATAGCTCCTGCTGTTCCTACTCCAGTACCCACTGCTAGAGCTACATCCTTTACCTTTTCTAACTTTTTATGGCGGTCAATCTTTTTCTGGGCTTTGCTAAACATGTCATTGGTGTACAGGTGTCCTCCATTGTCCTGCACCATTTTATCTATGATCTTCAGCAGCTCTGTAACCTGTGTACGATCTGTTATGTTCCTGTTGTTTACTGCATGATATCTGCCACCACAGCTTATAATCACATCTGTAAGTGCTTGTGAACTCTGTATGTAATCTTTCAGCTTTGTCCCATTTAGCTGATCGGCATGAGTGAACAGAATGATGGTGTATTTCACAGAATCTTCTCCAAAATTACTCTGGATCCACTTCACAGCATTATTGTCCTCTTGAGTGAACCTCCCTGTCAGGCTGACAACAAGCAGAATGGCATGTAGTCCGTATGGTTTTGGGATAATCTCAAGACACCTTTTCATTTCCTTCCTCATTGATTTGTCATCCATTACATTATCAAAAAACCCAGGAGTATCAATGACTGTAGTCTTTCTACCCACCACTAACCCATCAACTCTTTTAGTTTCTCTAGTCACACTTCCAGCAGAGGGCTTTGATTCAAACATTTTCCTGCCCAGGATGGTGTTTCCTGTTGCACTTTTTCCCTCACCGGTCTTACCCACCAGCACGAGTGTCAGATTAGAAATCCATTTTAAATCTGAAAGAAACATGTAAACACATAATAAAAACAATCAAACAGGCAATGGTCTTGGGGGGGGCTTGGATATTACTGAGATCTTATGGTCTGAATTCTGATTTTGAGGTAATACCATTTAAGACAACTTAACACATACGTTTATTTTAAACTGTACTTTGTGTTCTATGAGGTCTAAAATGTATTTGCTAGTGTTTGCCAAAGGCTCTTGCTACCAGTCATATTGATATATGAAGATCATCTGTCCATACATTTTGAAAAACTTAAAACCTACTGCCATTCAGCACATGTAGTCTGCCTGCAAGCTGCATATGTTTTAATACATCATCTGGACCTCCAGAATCCAGGGAAAAACACCCATAGATGTGGAAATTTTGCCAGAGCTTTGGTTTGTGTGTGTGTGTGTGTGTGTGTGTGTGTTAATAATTATATTATCTATTTAATAAGAGAACATGACTTACCAGTATGGCCAAGATCAATCTCAATTTCATCTTCTCCTTCCAAGACTGCTGAAAAAGGAGTACAAATAACATATAAGAATAAATACATAAAAAGGAAAGAAATAACATTTATTGCCTGTTTTGACATAAATAATTAGTCCTTAAAAAATTTTCATTAGATGTTTAGCTCTGAAAATTGTATGATATAGTAATAGACCACTGTCCAAATGAAAAACATTTAATGATCTCTTAAGTACTGAACATTTACATACTGAAATTGAACACTGAATTTAGTGGTATTCTGTGGGTTTATCAAAATAGAGAAAATATTGAGAAATTGTGAATAAGTGCTTTGCCCAAGAACACAACCAGGTATACCTAGTCAGTCATGGGAGTGGAACTCACAACTTCTGGTTCCAGGCTCACCTCTCCTACCAGCTTGTTATCAGTGCACAGTTCAAAAGCCAGTATTCATGATGGTAAAGGGCATTAGTGCACATGGCATGGGTGACGTGCACATCTGTGAAGGCACCATTAATGCTGAACGATATATACATAATTTGGCAACATATGCTGCCATCCAGATGACGTCTTTTTCAGGGAAGGCCTTGATTATTTCAGCAAGACAATATAAAACCACATTCTGCATGTATTACAGCAGCATTGCTCCGTATTAAAAGAGTCCAGGTGCTAAACTGGCCTGCCTGCAATCTAGACTGTCACCCACTGATAACATTTAATACATTATTACATACAAAAATACAACAAATGAGCCCCAAACTATTGAGCAGCTGAAATCCTATATCAAACCAGAAGGGGAAAATATATCACTTTCAACACTACAGCAGTGTCTCCTCAGTTCCCAGACACTTACAGAGTGTTGATAAAAGAAGAAGTGATGAAGTGGTAAACAGGCCCCCGTCCCAACTTTTTTGGAACGTGTTGTTTGCATCAAATTCAAAACGTGCATATATTTTTCAAAATCAGTTTCAACATTTGATATTTTGTCTTTGTAGTATTTTCCTTGAAAAATATGGTTTACATGATTTGCAGATCATTGAATTCGTTTTTTATTTACATTCTGCGCAGGGTTCTTTGCATGTTACACCACCTCTGAACAGCAGGGGGTGTCTTTTTCCCCTTACACCTTTGGGGACCAGGTTAAAACCCAGGTAGCTAAACAGCTAACACTTAGGATGCTATACCAACTTTGACCAGCAAGGGCAGCTACAGCTACTATTTTTTACTCTTTTACCGTTTGTGGACCAAGCCAAACTTAACTGGCTCAACACACCACACCAGCTTCAACCACTAATGGGTGGCTGATTCACCCAAATAGAAAGGGAGTGTATGAAAGTAGTGCTACTTACCAGAAGAGAAAGATGATGTTTCATTGAATTCACTGTCAAGCAAACGCACTGCAAAATGAATAAATAAATAAATAAATAAATAAATAAACAAATATCACTTGACAGAACAATTAAATGAGATTTCACACAAAAGCATTGTCAGACAGATGCAGTTTATTAGAAACACCTATGTTGCATCCACACACTGTTACAGACAGTAACAGACTGCAGGATATCTTCCTTCCCCACAATCCATCAATAAAAGAGACCACCATAAGACCACCACTGACTAAGGAATCATGCACTGTCTTGTAGCAACTGCTTAAAGCTTTTCTCAGCTGGAGCTGCATTATGCCATTTGTACAATGTAAGCTCCTCCCCTATTTGACTCTTTCACAATGTTAAAAGACATTTGTTGATACTTTTTCCTTAGCCTGTATTCTAGAGATCATATTTCAATTTAATATCAAACTAAAAAAAGTAACTTTGTATATATTTCCCAAGGGTGCCAGCAAATCTGTATACCAAATCTTTTTCAAGCAGCTAATAGTTAATAGTTTTTTTTTGGTTTTTTTTGGGGTTTTTTTTTTAATGTAAAAGGGCCAGACATGGTAGGATGTGTGTGAGTGTAGCTTCATTAGGACTTTTCAAATTCAAGATCAGAGCAGACACTTCAGCATGCTAAGAATCAAAGCTTTTAGATTTTAGACAAATCCATACCTGTAAACTGATTTAAGATGAATAAAGCCCAAAAACAATAAATGTTATTAAGAAAGCTTGAGAAACAAGGGGCTAAGTATTGTAAATAAAGACTAGTAAGACTTTACCAAACACAACAGATAAGGAGAACTACAGACTGATGATATCATCGGCAAGTCAAAAGTGAAAGTAACACTGAATGAAGGTACCCTGTCTTCTCCGTCACACAGTACATTCTGCATCTTTACATTTTCAAAGTCTTTATCCATTTATCTGATTTCCCTTTTCCTCATATTAACATGATGTCTATTAGTATTATACTTACTTATGTATTATTAACTAAGAAGATAAAGTTAAACTCAAAACTGTGGACACCCCTGGTCAACCTTTATTGATTTTTGAACTGAAAAGAAGTAAACACAAGCTACGCAACAGATTGTTCAAAAACAACATATATATGCAAATGTTAACGCACAGTTACTTTGTATTAAATACGAAATGTCACAGAAAACTCCAGCATTACAGTGAATTTGTCTATAATACCATTTTCATATACTGATAGTGTTCCTACACAATACCATTTGGAAACACCTCAATTGGAAAAGGTGTAAATGTCTGCAACACAAAATCATCACCTTCTCCTTTAATATTAACTGTTAATAGTTCTGAACTTCTCTGATATTATCTAACATTTTAATGCTATCAAATAAAGCCATTCATGATTTTGCACCTAGAGAGAACATTTTAAATAAGTTTTAAAATATATAATGATTTAAAAATTGTATTTACTCACTATAGTCACCCATTCTCCTACTCATTGTCCTGTAGCTCTAGATCTTCTTTTGGTTGTGCAGATTTTGCATGTCTGCAGCTGGTTTTAGAGTTAGAGTTAAAATTCAGCTGTATAACTGAATGTACTGTATATGTGAGCAGAAAAATTAAGAGCTCTAGTAAGATCAGTTCTTCTGGTAGAGTTTAAATATAGTGCACGGAAATGTACCCTCCCAGAGCTCTCAACCCATCAGAGAGCTTGTGGTTATTCTTTTAGCAGTGAAAATGACCACAGACTTCAAACTGCCTGAACTACAAAACTGAAAGCACAACTGCTGCAGCCTCATTCATAACACTTCAGTTCACTGGACATTAAAATGTAATTAATAAATTACATTCAACACCACAATTTGGTTCTCTATTACTTTGATTGTTTGTACGATATGCTTTTGTTTCTCCAAGTCAAAGCTGAAGGGCAAGTTCAAAATCATGCCTGTCTAAACATTAATTGGATAGGGGTGTGGGGGCATGTTTAGAAGACCAGAAGGTTAGAGAGACCAGCATTAAGGTAAGGAGGAACTTGAAGGTGATATGGAGGGGGTTGTTGCAAAACTTGATTATAGAAAACAGAAAGAAGGGATTGAAAAAAGTAGAATGTTGGAATAAGTATGGCGTATTTAGGTGTGTTCACATACCTCAGTGTCACTGCTGGACTGAGAATAGTCCACCAACCAAAAATATCCAGCCAACAGTGTCCTGTGGGCAGCGTCCTGTGACCACTGATGAAGGACTAGAGGATGACCGACACAAACTGGACAGCAAGAGATGAACTATCGTCTCTGGCTTTACATCTACAAGGTGGACTTACAAGGTAGGAGTGTCTAATAGAGTGGACAGTGAGTGGACACAGTGTTTAAAAACTCCAGCAGCACTGCTGTGTCTGATCCACTCATACCAGCACAACACACACTAACATGCTGCCACGTCAGTGTCACTGCAGTGCTGAGAATGATCCATCACCCAAGTAGCACCTGCTCTGTGAGGGTCCATGGAAACAAGAAGGTGGTCATAATGTTATGGCTGATGTGTGTTTGTTGCATTTGTGTTTACATATGTATGTATTTGAGTGTGAGCTTTCAGTTTCAGTATAGATCCATGTGAACAGCAGATAAACGAAGTTTCAGTTTTGCTAAGAGATCAAAGAGTTTAGCATTGTGTAAGACACACCTTGTCTCCTTCCAAGAGGACGCTTTCTTCAAAATTTGCTGATGTCTGGAGAATAATTCTGGGGATGACAAAATACATAAAGAGAACTGAGCATCATGTCTGCTACTTGAAGACTTTTGCCTTTCAATTGAAACAACTATTCATGATAGGCTGGTAGCACATATATATGCAAAGGCCTAGTATGTGAACATGGCACTTCCTGGTCATGTACTCTTGCTGGTGATCAGACTGAGAGTGAGAGTCATAGAAGATGAGAGGAACACAAATGACTTCAGGAGAGCTTTGGAGAAGATGCATCAAAGCACACCATAATACTCTTGACCTGTCAGAGCTTCCACATCTAAGCAAGCTCATGTGTCTGCCCATCTGGTACTAGTATAGATATACTTGAACATCATGCTTACAATGATGCTCTTTGAAAAGATGGACAGATTTCATATGCATTGAAGGAAGTGTGCTCAGCCCTCAATCATTCTAAAGCCATATACTTTTCCAATTGAGCCACAGCCTTTGAAAACATCATGTCATGCTGTATGGTAGGTTAAAAATGTATACCTAATTCAGCGATTAAGATATGACCAAGTCATTCACAGTGGTCGGAGTGGTTCATTGTAGAGAAATTCACCAACTGACCACTTCACAATAATGGTGATAGGAGGGGGTCACACCATCTACCATGCAGATATAACTATATTATCTACTATTTTAAAAGCATCAGTGAGCCCACAAACCTATGCCTTTCTTTTCATACACATCATCCATCTGTAAAGACAGATACGCATTCATCCACCTCGTTTTCAAACAGACAATGCTGAGAACATGTTAACACCCTGCTTCACACAAGTCACGTAGTCCGTGCATGTTTTAAAAGCTCTTGACCAATCAGAGTTCCCTTTATTTTGTGGCTGTCAATCTTTTACTGGTACAGGAAGCCTCATGAGCCAACCACAAACTTCTGTTTCTCACATTTACTCATGTTAACATGACAGAACTGAAAAAAGGGCCTGACAATGATTTGACTGTTTGATGGGTTTATGTTTATTTTACTTGCCGACATTCTCAAATGTAAGTGAAGATAATACTGGGGTGGCTGCCATTTGCTCTGGTACTGAGAATGGGGCTTTGGGGCATGGTATGTAATGAAATTGTTAATGTAATGTAATCTTTTGGTGACCTCCCCTGCAAGTTTGGCTGTAGGCAGGGACTTTTTCTGTTGTTTCTTTAATAAAAGAGAAGATGTTAAACAGAAATTACGGCTTTTCCTGACACTCCTTTTGCACGGTCACTATATTATTAATACAAACAGTACTATTTTGCAAGTAATAGGAAGAAAGACATTGGAGATCCATAGTGCCATCTTGTGGGCATTTCAAAATGAGAAATAAAACTCTGTACTCCACGATATCATCAATGCAAACAGTACTATTTGTAATTAATAGGAAAAAAGACACTGATGATCCATAGTGCCATCTTGTGAACACTGATGATGAAAAGGGTATTTTATGGTTTAAAAGCAGTCTGACTGCTTATGGTTTATCTGTCTGACTGCTGTGAAAATTCCAAGATTGTCCTGCTGTGGGAGAAGACGACCAAAGTATGTTCTGCTTAAACCTGTTTAACTACATTCAGAAAATCAATAGGCCTCATTCACCAACCTTTAGTAAGAAGAAATTTTGGTAACACTGTCTATGAACATCATGTTTGTAAGCATCTATAAACACATTCATAGGACGTTATAATGCACTCAGAAGGCATCATAAACATAACAAAAATGTATTACACGTTATAGCCATGCCTATTATGCATTATGAATTGTTAACATAATGCATTATAAGTACTGTTCATAACAAATTATAAGAGCTCTTAAGTCGTATTTGTCCACTCTAAGTAAAGTGAAGCGTACTGTACTAAAGCCTCCTCCAGTGTTAAGAGTGAGGCTTCAAGTTGAAATATTTACTGAAGGATTTACTGAAACACTAAAACATACATAATAAAGCACATTACAGGCTTCAAATGTCAGAGTTTAAACTAGAGCTGCCATCAGTGTTTTACCCAATGTGGGAAAGTCAATGTACACCACCGTTAGCTTGGCACTAACTTAACACTGCATATCCAATAGAATGCTAGCAGAAATTGGCATTACTGTAGTGCAGTGATATTACAGAGTGAAGGGTTCTAGTGCTTGACGTTAGAACCAGTGAGGGAACAAATTACAATGACAGCACTCGACTATCTCACCTCTCCCTCTCCAGGCCTTCACCCACAGTGACTTCATGCTAAGTGTGATGTCAGAGGGAGTTCAGGGGAAGGGCTGATGGGTACTTGGTTTGTTGTGATGTAATGTAACATTTAAAGTGTAATTCAGTGTGATTCATTTTTATAAATATTTATAACCATGTTTATAGTGCCTTACGAATGCATTATAACGTGTTTATAAATGCTTACAAAGGTGACATCCATAGAAAGTGTTACCAAAATGATTTACACCTTATAGCCATGTTTATTATACATTATGAATTGTTAACATACTGCATTATATCTAGTGTAATTAACATGTTACACTGTCAGTGCCAAAAAAGTCATTCTCAGCTTGCAGAGTGTAAAGTGAGACAAATACATTTATTTATGCCAAGGAATTTCTAGAATTTTATTTCTCACCATGGGTGTTCTTAATAATAACAATGATAAAATTAGCAAAAGCTAATAACATATATATGCATGTACCAAAGTTAATATACCAAAGTGCAGACAAATGTCACGCATCCCTCCAGCTCAGACTCTCTAATAAACTCCATTTCCCAGAACTCTCTGGGAGATAATGTGATTGAGGCTCCACCACCATCCACCAATCAGTACTCATCCTCACCTGAATATAGACCTATTTCACTTGTTCTCTATATCATGTGAACATACCTAGTTAGGATATACTGTAAGCCCAGGCTTTAGACTAGAGCAGTGTGAGGTATTGTTTCTATGTTTAGAGCTGCTGAGCGTTCATTCTTGTTGTCACTGCCTTACTGTGTATCAGACTTTGCATCTGTATTTTCGACTTTGCCTTTGTCTTGCCTCTTTTGTACCCTGTTTGCTGGTTCCAGTCCCTGTTATGTTTTATCTTTTTTTTGTATTTGGACCTTCCTGGCTTTTGACCTCTTAACTGCACATGTCTGGCCAGTTCTGTCTCGTTACAACAAAATTAATCTCACAAAGAATTAGAGCACATTATTAATTGGATAAAATCTACCGTATATTGTCATACTTCTAATATGGCCACAATATCTGTCCTAGACTCTTATCATAACCAGTAATTACGCTATGTAATTTTTCTTTTGTGTTTTCTTTTGTGTTTAGTCATGCTTAAACAGAGTAGAGACTACACTTACACTCCATATCCTATCTACTTTTTATTCAGTAGTTAATAGTAGTACAGTTACATTGTTTCTCACTGTTACGTCCAACGACTTATTATTTACATGTCTTTTTTTTCTTTTCTCTCTTGCACAAGCTTCCGTTCTCATCAGCTTCCTGCTCTTCCATCATAGCCGTCAGGTGCTGCTGCTGAGGGAGGTGTAATGGGCGCGCTGATTGGCTGTGCTGAGATCGGGGCAAGAGCTTATAAGCCTGGTGACCGGTTTCCTCAAGGCTCCTCCTCCTTCCCTTGGTGTTGTCGCCGGACCAGCCAGACCAGGAAGTTCTAACACTGAGTAGTTGGGCCTACTGTCCGTGTAGTTGCTAGTCTAATGTGTTGTGTTAAACTGCCCACTTTGGTGGAAGAAGACTTAGACATCTAGATTGGAAGCTGTAGGGGGTGTAGCCTTGTTTTCTTTGTCTTTGTTTTTGCTGAGGGAGGTAGGTTATGTTTTTGTATTTTTGTTTCTTTTATTTTGTATAGGTAAGTAAGTTGATTGGGGAGGTATAATTTTCTTTGTTCTTTTTTTTGGCTGAAACCACCCCTGAAGCTTAAGCTACCACTTTCCATAATAAAACTCATGAGACTAGTAATACGTGTTTGAGTGTGATTGGTCTGGCGGGTTGGTAATGGGAAGTTGGGGGAGACACTTTTATGTTGCGGCCTACCCTAGACGGGTCGTAACACTCACATTGTAATAAGGGCACTTAAACATAAAGTGTTAAACCCCTTTTCTGTGAAATATTTTACTGTTTTTATTTTTTTATTTTTTTTTTTTGTTCATTAAATTCAATAAAAATACACAGTCATACAATTACAATAAATGAGACAATGTTAAAATCATAATTTGGTAATAAAATGATCAAACCTCAGATAATCGTGAGGACTAATATACAGGCGATTGTGCCAAAATGTTTGTGCTAAATTGTTCTATTAAAAGCTATTAAACAAAATATTACATAATCAGGTCCTAGATATTTACAAAGATTATGTTATGATCTATTTACATCCAAGGTATTGAAAGAAATATCGATAATGTAAATATATGCAAAATCATCATTTTTTTGATGATCATCGAGTTTTGGTCTGCAGGCTGAGCCTTGTTTTAGCCACACCCCTGCATTTTAGAGCAGGAAGTGAGACTGCATCCCTTTGTTTTGAAGTAAATGTGTTTCAAAGTCTGAAAATCAGTGTGGAACATTAAGGATAGTCTTTTTTAAGGAAAAAAAGAACTGTGTTATTTAGAAACATAAAAATCTTTACAGTAGCTGAAGTCCATCGGAAATCTTTATCAAATGTTTGGCAATTGGTCATGTTGGATTCAAAAAGTTGATCATTTTAGCAACTTTTAAAGCACGTAAAAATCAGAAAGCATTACAGAACATTTTATAAAAAGATAATTTCATGTTTGGACAACTATGATAGGCAATAACTAGCATAATGCCTTTACATTTATTCATACTGCAAAAGTGGTGCTTTTATTTGAGTAGTTTACGATTTCCTAACTTCGAGATACAGTAAGATATGTTTCCTAAATTAAGATAAAATTTGCTTCTGTAACACGAGTTATCTTGAACTTGCCTTAAATTAGGATGTTTCTGTAATGCGGCTCCTGGTAAGTGTGCAGTGCAAACTCCAAAGTATTAGATATTTATTTTGGGTAGATTGATGACATCTTCCAATACAGATTACTTAAATTACTTTGTTCCTTGTCACTTCTGGGTGAGCTAATGCTGGCGTGCCTGCCTGCTGCTGCTCTCTTGTGTTTGTTTGTGTTAAGTAATGCATTAAGTAATTTTACTGTAGTGGACTTTAGTACTCTCTTTAACTTCTGGGGATTCAAGCCTGCTTGTTAAGTTTTCTTCAAGTGATTGTACCTTTTTAATACACATAGAACCACTGGCCAAGGGGGAGGCCTTGCAACTATTTTTTAGAGATCATTTTTAAATGCTATTTGTTAGCTGTGGGAGAGTTTTTAAGCTTTAAAGTGCAGCTGTGTAAAGTGGAGTTGTCATGTTCTGTGCTTTGTGTTCTAGTGTCCAGAACCCCTAAAAGCAATAATAATTTTTTTTCAGGATTTTTTTCTTACTTTTTATTAGTTATTTTATTTAGTTCTTAGTGATTTTAACATTCATGTCAGCTGTCCATTCAAGCCTTTAGTAGAATAATTTTTACAGCTTATTGACTCTTTCAGTCTGACTGAGCCTGATACTGGCCCCACACATGAGCATGGACATACTTTAGACCTTGTTTTGTCACTTGGTTTCTCGGTGTGCAATTTAGAGACAGTAGATGCATGTTTGTCTTCTTTCATGCAGTTTTCAGCTGTCTATGTAAATTCTCCCCTAGTTTGTACTATTGAGAATCCTCTTCAAGGCACTAGAGCTGATGAGCTGACTGCTTTATTCAATTCTACATGTGCTGATGTTATTGATTTAATTACTCCAAAATAAGGTCTCAGCCATGGTTCAGTAATGACACTCCAATGGAAATGGAAAAAAGAGTTTCTCAACAGATTTTCAGAGAATGTCTACCTAACTGTCAGTGCATGGTGAAAGCTGCTATGACAAAATACTTTGCAAAACTGCCAAACATTCTTGTAGTCATAAATTTCTTTTTAGTACACATAACCTACTACATTTTACCATTACATTACCATTACATTACAAAATTGAAGATTATGTTTTATCCACAAAATTGACAATATAAGATCACATATCTCATCTTTGGCCCATGACCCCTCTGATTCACCTACATGTTCTGTTTTCCTTAGTGAATTTGAGCCTGTGTCTTATCAATGTCTTATCAAACTGATTTAGTTATGTGTATGAGGCCTACAACTTCCACATCATGTCTTAAAAATGTGCTGTTATTTTAAAAATGTCTGGCTTGGATCCATTGGTCCTCAAGTTACCGTTCTTGTCAAAAGTTTTGGAGAAGATTGCCTTTTTTCAAATTTCTTCATTTTCAGACATACATAATATCCAAGATACATTTCAGTCAGGTTTTAGAGCACACCTTTGGAAAGTGTGCTATTTTAATTTTTTTAGATCCTTTGACACTGTCAATCACATTATTTTCTGAAGTGTGGTGTTGGCATCCAGAGTACTGCACCGAAGAGGTTTGCCTCACTTTTCCTCCTCCTCAGTGCCGATTACTTGTGGGGTGTCTCAGGGCCCTGTCTTAGGTCCTATTTTGTTCTCACCCACTGCTCTACCTCTTGCTTAACCCAGGTGAAAATGGTTCTCTGTGCCTCATTTTTGATTGTCTGAGAGATATAAACTGATAGATGTCTAAGAACTTTCTTAATCTAAACCAAGACAAAACAGATATTATTATTTTCAGAAATGTTGATCTGCCCAGAGCTATAGCTAATGATCTGGGGCCATTATTATCTTATGTAGATAGCCATGTAAAAAAATCTTGGTGGTATTTGATTTTGTTCTTAAGTTTGAGAGGCAAATAAATGCTGTTGCGAGAGGCAACTTCTTTCAACTTAGGAGTATAGCAAAAATGAAAAGCAACATGTCTTTTAAGGACTTGGAAACATGCCTTTATTTCCTCTCGTACTGACTATTGCAACTCGCTGTATTTGGGAACTTGTCAGTTAAGCTTGTTATGTCTACAGCTGGTCCAAAATGCAGCCACAGGCTCCTGACTGGTACTACGGGGTCATTGAACTGGTTACCAGTAAAATACAGAATTGAATTTAAAGTTTTATTATTTATTTTTAAAGTTTTGCATGGCTTGGCTCCAAGCTATATCCCTGACCTCCTCTGTTTATATTTGACCTCACAAGCCCCATGATCTTCTAACCAGTTGCTCTTAGCCATTCCACGATCTTGGGCTGAGGTTCAAAGGTGGCTGGGCCTTTTCTGTAGCTGCCCCAAAAACTCTGGAACAACCTTCAGCTTTTCATAAATGAATCCCCCACCACAGACGTTTTTCAAGTCAAATTTAAACACCCATTTATTTTCTCAGGCAATCGAGTCCTTTTAATGAATATGCTTTCAGTATCTGTTCTATCTTGGTTTGCTGTGTCCTGTCAGTGTAGTTCTTCTTTTGTTTTATAGTTTTTATTTGATTAGTTTTGTGTGCATGTTATTTTCCTTGTTGAATGGATTGTGTAGTTTTGATTAGTTAGTAGTGGTTATTTTGAATTAATATTATTGTGCAGCACTTTGGCTGACACTTGTTGTCTTTTAAATGTGCTATAGAAATGAAGGTGACCTGACTTGACATGTTCTAGGCATTAACTGGCTAAGTACTGTTATGACCTGTCTAGGGGTTTGTGATGGTCATAACATAAAAAAGACAAAAGAGACCCAGTTGACATTTAAACACATCAAGCCATGTTAATTCTTTTGTTTGCACAACACAGAGTGAGTATGCACAACAAACATAACCAGGCTAGCTAGGGATTTAGAGAACTAACTTACCTATGCCAAAATAAAGAAACACAAATACACACCATCTACCTAACTCCCAGACTATATCAAAAACAATAGAAAACATTTAAAAGTAAAAAAAAAAATGGCAGCCACTCCTACACCCTGGTCGGCATAAGAGTGAAAGTTACAGAGGAAGATCATGAGCTTACTGCTAAACAGTATAGGTACTTGGGCAGAGAACAAGGGGTAGAGCTGAGCTAATACATTTCGGACAAAGACAGACAATATACTAGCCATAAAACAAACATCTTGCTGAGCTGCAGTTCTGATCTAAAAACAGTCGTCCCAAGCCACCATGGAGGAAAGCCTCGAGGACGTCAGGTGCAGCTGTCAAAGAAGTACCTCATGCAATCACAGTAAGCATCATTACAGGACTCCAGCCAATCACATGCATGAGTAGGCAGGTTCCTAATAAACAAGAGTGAGAGAGCGATAGAACGAAAGAGAAGCAAGCAAAACAAAACATACATCCTAGGGACGTAACAGTATGAAGTACAAACTACGAGTGCTGTGTAAATATTTAGGGGTAAAATGGGGTTGAAGATCAAGATAGTCTAGCAAAATTACACTGAAATGTCGAATAGGTTCTATTATCGTACTATAAATATGTGGAGCAACAAGGTAGTAGGTATAAACATTATATGTCATATTTAGGGAAGAAAGTAAATAAGAATCATTGCTTTCTTTTACATCCCAGATTGAATTTCGTTTATAGATGATAAACAGGTACACACTATGTAAGACTTTAAAACAGCATAAAACAATGTAGTGCTTTTCTCCTTTAACATGCAATACTACAGAGGGGAATGCTTTCAGGGGCTTATTTCACAAGGCACGTTTATTTAAGTTAGGATTCTTGACATAAAACCTAGCAAATGCAATAGCAGTTCATTTGTTTAATGTGAGGCTTTTTGTATTTACCACCTTATTACTTAATTATCCAATGTTTAGCCTTTGCCTTTTTGACATAAACATCATGATTTCATGAGAATTAATCATAGTTTGAGAATCTAAGTTTGAGTTGACAGAAAATATTGTTGAAATTAAGCATAAAACAAATGAACTGTTATTGCATTTGTTAAATTTTACGTCAGGAATGCTAACTTATTTAAAGTGGGCTTTGTGAAATGGGCCCCTGAAGGTATTTCTCCCTGTACTCTAACTACAGAGAAAATATTAGAGACAAATTAAGTAGTGCTTTTACATCTTTTTCTGACCCAGACCAGGACATAAGAAAAGAAAATCCAGAAGCTTAGAACAAGTTCTCTGCACATTTCCTCATGTTCATAATATTTATGAAATACATATCATTCTGTGTATGATGAGTTAATAGGCTACTCTGATCTCAACACATGCAATGCATGTTAGACAAATCCTTATAAGACCAAAAAAAAAAACCAAAAAAACTTTATAATAAAAGTCTCTTAAAAGACCCTCATAATTATATCAAATACAGCAGAATGCAAAGTAATAGAAAGGGAGTGAAACTAATGCTACTTACCAGAGGAGAAAGATTATGTTTCACTGAATTCATTTTCAAGAACAGGCACTGCAAAAACAACAACAACAACAACAACAACAACACAACAACAACAACAACAACAAAATAAATTGAAAGAGCAACGAAATCAGATTTCACACAAAAACCTTAAGTAAAAGATTTACAGTTTATTAGAAACACCTACCACTGTGTTACACACAGTTACAGGTACAGACTATAGGCCTTCTGCTGTTGCATAGTCCAGCAATGCATGGTCTCCCCCAAATAAATAAAAAAGGACCACTATAAGACCACCATTGATTTAGAAATCATGACGGGTTTTGTAGCATTTGGTTTTTCTGAGCTTGAACTATTTGTATATGGTTTAGACAATGTAAACTGTAAGTCAAACAGAGGCAGAGTTTGGTTTGCACAGTGTGCTCCAGGGCAGAAAAAGAGCCTGAGTATTTGTGTATTGACATAGACCAGAGTTATCTCAAGTACAGATACTGTCTGAAAACCTGTGGACAGGATCAGGCTATCCCTTCTGAGTCCCATCTAAGCCCATTCTACTAGCTCCCAAACATAATGAGGGTCACTAAGTTGGATATGCACAGTCTGTATAACCGAAACCAGGCTGAAAGACCGCCTTCATTACATCCTCTCGTACATGTAAGATTATGCAGTCTTCAGATGGACTAACAAGAACCAGGGCAAGTTCGACTGAATGTCTATGTGAGTGTGGAGGAACTGTAATATCTGGCAAAATTTAAAATTCTTCTTATTACAAACTACAAAAAGAAACTGCAATGTAAATAGTGTAAAGATTACCAACTTTCTGGTATGATGGATTTAAGCAATACACTGCAATACACAAAGCACAAAGGTCTACTGAAGAATATGTGACTTATTACCAACTGTTTAAGAAGCATTTTATATTGCATTATTTTGTTCTGACATGCCAACAATAGCCAAAAATGACAGATGATTTTAAAGGAAGAATATGTGCAAATTTCTATTTTTATATGTGGAATCACTTTGTGAAAATCAAGCAGATGGAGGATGTTTTTGAGAATATAAAATATATAGTTTGGACTGTGTGAGTATTAGAGAAAAATAGCTCTTACGGTGGAAAGTAGAAGCCTTTGAAGGTTAGACTTGTTGTAGATATATTATGGGTTAGAATATGAATATGAACATAGCCTTTCACTGCTTCATCTATAAATATTTATTTTTAATCACACTGATATTCCTATCAAAATTAGGAATATCAATCATTTAAACACATTCTGCTTGTCAGTGTGTGTGTGTGTGTGTGTGTGTGTGTGTGTGTGTGTGTGTACAGTAAGTGCGTAACTTACTATATTTTCATCCGTTTACAGGGTGGTTCCTCCTGTAGACCAATGAGCAGATTCATTCCTGAAAATCCTAGTTCATTGTTGTACATGATCAACTCTTCCAATTGAGAGGTGGGGTTTGATTTTAAGGCTGAAGCCAGAACAGCACAGCCTTGACCTGTAATAATGCAGTTATCCAGCCTGCACAGAGATACACATACAGATCAACACACACACGCACACACACACACACACACACACACACACACACACACACATATGCACAATCATACACACAAAGCCATCATTGTATTTCTCTCTCTCTTTCTCTTTGTTCTATGTTTTCTCTCTCTGTACTTATTTGTCTGGTTCTCTTTTTCTCCTTCTACCTTTCTCCCTATGTCCCTCCATATTACTCTCTCTATGTTTAAAATGAGATGCTGAGTTAGAGCTGCACAGCTTTTCTCTGTGTGATTACAGTCACACAGGCTGTGAGGGAAATAATGATGCATCAGAACACTTATCACACACATACACACACACACACACACACACACACACACACACACACACAGTGATAAAGTGATCTTACTGTAGTTTCTTCAGTTTACAGTGTGGATTCTTCAGTCCAGCAGAGAGCTGCTCCAGTCCTGAATCCTGCAGTTTATTGTCACTCAGGTTCAGTTTTCTCAGATTTGAGGAGTTTGAGCTGAGAACTGAGGACAGAACTGCACAGCTTTTCTCTGTGAGATTACAGTCACACAGCCTGGGAACGAAATGATGATACATCAGAAAACACACACACACACACACACACACACACACACACACACACAGAGAGAGAGAGAGAAACACTGTGCTATTTGGTAAGAAACTAGAAGTATGTATGAGTGAATAAATATGTTTCATTTGTAGACACACACACACACACACACACAACCTACAAACACATACACACACTCACACACACACACACACACAAATGCACTCATACACACACACATACACAGAGACTCATACACATACTCATACACACACATGCATACACAAACACACACACACACACACACACACACACACACACACACTGATACATAAACACAGTCAGAATGAGTGTGTGTGTGTGTTTACACTGTCACACACTTATACACTCTAACACACACACACACTAACACAATCATACACACACACACACACACACACACACACACACACACACACACACATTCACCCACAGAAACACAGGAACCATTCTGTCTCTTTCATGTTCATCTGAAAACACAGCCAAACTATCAGACAAACAAAAACTATTTCTAATCTATGTAAAATAAGTTGTTTTTCCTGATTACTTCAACAGTTAAAACAGTAAACATGCAACAGGTGAGACTGACATTATATGAACTGTCATATGACATCATCGCAGGCCTCCTGTATGTTTATAATTTTAGACAATGTTACTTTCCGCTAACTCCACCTTTTTGTAAATATGAAAAAAAGCAAAATGCAGAAACAAATATTTCCTAATATCTCAGTTGACTGCTCTCTTTTTTGATTAGAGGGGCATGTGCAATACTTCTGCCTTAAAGCACATGGTTATAGTACTCTGGCAGAACACACTGTCTGATATTTTTTATTAACCTATAATTATTAATATTTCATAAATCATTTTCTACCTCTATTCTTCCTGTGATAAAAACTCATCTACAGCCTCCTCTATCAGTGTGTACAGTGTGGGTTTTTTGTGTGGGTTTCTTGGGTGGTTCCTGTCCCCAAGAAAAGGCAAGCAATAGCACTAAATGATTATCGAGCGGTTGCACTGCCATCCCACTTAATGAATATACTTGAAAGGTCATCTGAGACCTCTACAACACATCATCTGCAAAAGTCATGTCATCTGCAAAAATTCTCGGGTGACATGGCCATTGTGGAGTGCATGAGGAATGGACAGGAGGAGGAATACAGGAAGCTGGTGAAGGACTTTGTTAACTGGTGAACCAGCTGCAGCTAAACGTCAGTAAGACTAAAGAGATGGTGCTGGATTTTAGGAAGTCTAAACCTGCCTTGTCACCAGACACCATTGATGGAGTTGATGTGGAGGTGGTGGGAACCTAAAAGTTTCTGGATGTGCACTTGGACAACAAGCTGGGCTGGAGCTGTAACACTCTCGCGGTGTACAAGAGAGGTCAAAGCGGTCCATACTTCCTGAGGAGGCTGAGGTCTTTTGGTGTGTGCTCTAAGCTCCTATGGACATTCTACCTGTCTGTTGTAGCGAGTGCTCTATTCTATGCTGTTATGTTTTGGGGCAGCAGCATTAACAAAAGTGCTCTGAACAAAATAAACAAACTTATTAAAAGGCTGGCTCTGTTGTAGGGGCCAAGCTGGACTCTTTGGAGGTTGTGACAGAACAAAGGGTGCTCAACAAGCTGTTAGCCATCTTGGACAATACCTCACACCCCCTGAATGCTACACTGGAAAAACAGGGAAGCACATTCAGTGGCAGACTGTTACGGCTGCACTGTGTTAAAGAGCACTGCTATAAGGCTCTACAACAAGAGACGGTACTGATCTCCTGCTGTTTGAACTGAGCTGAACCACATCACTATATCATCTCTCCTGTTGATACACACTGTGCTATATATCATTAGTACTACTGTAATGACTCTCACTGCGCAATTTACATTGTAATATTGCTACAAGTATTAGTTATGTCTATATTCATTGTGCTTTCAGACTAACTCATACCACTTGGTATCATCATGAAAATACAACAAAACTGTTTTACAATGCTATGTGAATATGTAAATAGATATACTTTTATTTCCACTCTCTTATACTTTAACTCATGTCTATTTTTGTCTATTTTTTTATTTCTGCTTATGTCTATTTCTATTTTTTTTTATTTTCTGCATAGTATATATATATATATATATATATATATATATATATATATTATATATATATATATATATACTATATATGATGACTGACTGCTGTGCACTATGTAGTTAAACCAGGTGCAGAAAATAAATATGACTTTGAGAAAATTTTAGTTCAGCGGTTTTCAATTTTTTTCCTTTTGTTTATACAGCTTTCAACAGAGTTTTATGTTTTTCTGTGAGGTCTTTGTCAAATTATTTGATGAAATATGTGAAAAATGAGTGAAAGCATTGATGGTGAATTATGAATACACATTAATTTAGAAATAAAACAAAGTTAGTGAAACCTGACAATGAATGAGCAAAACCTTAGCCCAGATCTGCACTACTATAGCATACTCTTAGCCTCAAACTTACATACTGTGTTTTGCAGACCAATAAACACATTTCTTCACATTAGACACATCTAAAATGTTGTCTCTTTGCCTTTCAAAATGCGACATCTGTCAACCAACTGATTAAACATGGCCATCAGGTTAACAGACACTTAGGTGATTAATTGTAAACTCACTAATTAGGTGTAAATACTATAAAAAGCTAACAGGTAATTTTAATTCATGCTTTTGTTTTTGTCTTGTCTTCACAGATGTTTTTCATTGTGGTTATGTAATATATTCTATTTAGAGTATGTTCTGTTCTGAATTTCACTGCAAAATGCAACATTTAGAAATGCATGGATGTAATACTGATATATGTGAAGAGTAGTTTTCAACACTGTGCCAGTGTATTCATTATTCAGTCATCACTACTTTTTCAAAGGAGTGAACTCTGTGTGTGCCATACACTGACATGTAAAAATTGCTCTACAGTTTTGATTGAAGTGTTTAATTTTGCAAAACATGTGAGGTGTTCTGCTTCTTTGTGTGTAACTATATGAACTGTGCGTAGTGTGATGCAATGAGCCCTGTTTTTAAAATTGTGCTTAAAGTATCAAAAAAACTAACACACTTGAAAGAGAACACTTTTCTAATGTGAAGAAAGTGATAATAAAGATTAAACAGACCCCAGTTTTGTTAAATATGATTTATATATCAAGAAAATAAGTAATATGAGTTCAAGGAGTGAGTTTTGTGATTTCCACCCAAACTCCTAACAGTTACTTTACTGCACAGCAACGACAGCACTGTATATAGAAAAGTGGAGTCCTATTGATTATGCTGGGTGTCTAATCTAAGTAAAAAAACTGTTATTGATTTATAAAAATTATACAGACATATGAAAGTACATTTTATGGAAAAAAAGTATTGAGACAGTCTCAGCAGATAAACACTGGCAGTAGAATGGGTTGTACTGATGACTCTAAACATGACTTTAAAAATGGCTCTGTCATAGGATGCCATGTCTGCTACAAGTCAGTTTGTGAAATTTCTGTCCTGCTACATCTGCCCTTGTCAACTGTAAGTGCTGTTATTCAAATGTTTTTATTGATTTTTCAATATTTATGCACAGACACTTCCAGACAACTTCTAGACAAATTTTCCTGTGTTTGTGTCTGATAGAAAAAGAAGGAGATCATCAGCGTATAACAATAGTTTATGCAATTGCCCACCCCTGTTTATTTCAGACAGGCTGGCATTGTTTCTCAGTGCAATTGCAAGGGGCTCGATAGCCATATTAAAAAGCAGCGGTGACAGCAAACAACCTTGTCTTGTCCCTCTAAAAATAGGGAAAAAGCTGGATAGTATACAATTTGTTCAAATTACCACCTGGGGTGTTTTATATAAAATCTTAATCCAAGAGATGAAGGTTGGGCCAAAACCAAATTTATTAAGCATTGCAAACAAATACTTATACTCAGCCTGTCGAATGCTTTCTGAGCATCTAATGATATAATAACTTCTGGGCTGGCCTCACTATTAGATATAATACGTTATATTAGTGGCAGAGGTTGTTGGATAGCTGTCTGGCAACAATGAAGCCAATCTGATCTGGATGAATTATCTTAGACATGACTGGTTCGAGCCTGGCTGCCAACACCTTACTCAAAATTTTATAATCACTACAAAGCACACTGATTGGGCGATAAGATTCACATTTGAGTGGATCTTTATTCTTTTTCAGAAGGACTGTTATTATGGCTTGTGTCATGGTTGGGGGTAATGACTTCATTTCTAAAATCTCTTCAAAAACATGACATAACAGGGGCAGTAATTTGGCTGAGAGCATACAATACAACTCAATCGGGAACCCATCCTGGCCCTGGTGCCCTGCCTGACATAATTTTCTTAACCGCACGATCTGTCTCTTCTATGATTATGGTGCTTTCTAGTCTGGACTTCTCAGATTCATCAAGAGAGGGAATCTGTAAGTTGCTGAAGAACTCTTCTATTAATTCAGCATTGCCCCCCTCTGATGTGTATAGATCTTCACAAAAAGATCTAAACTGGTCATTGATGCCCTTTTGATCAATTATAGCCTCACCCTCACCGTTGTTAATAACTGATATAAGACCTAAAGATGCTGACTGTTTCAACTGGTGGCATAGGAGCTTGTTTGCCCATTCGCCAGATTTATAACAGTTCTGCCGCAACTTCAAATATAGGTCTACAGCACTCTTTTAAGTCAATAAATTCAATTCCAACTGTAATGTAACTCTTTCCTTATATAGGTCCTCAGTGGGTGAGACTGAATATACTTGATCAATTATTTTGATTCTATCCAAAATTTCTGTGATATGTTTTGTTTTCCTTTTGTATTCACAAGCAGTATATGAAATAACTTGCCTCCTTACATATGCTTTCAGGGTTTCCCATAACATTCTATAGCTGATTTCAGGGGATTCATTTGTTTCAAGAAAAATATCAATGTGAGTATTTATAAATTTAACAAAAGTGTCATCTACTAGAAGCCTTTCGATTCAGGCGCCAGGCCCGCATGGGTAGTATGTTTTCTGGAAAACAAAGCTCAAGTATCACTGGGCTATGGTCTGATATAACTATACTTCCATAATCTACATTGGTTAATAATGAGAGCAGTTTTCTATCTATTAAAAAAATAATCTATCTTGGAATATGTATGGTGTACTGGAGAGAAAAAAGAAAACTGTTTTGTAGTTGGGTATTTGAATCTCCAGGGGTCAATTATTCCATAGTCCTGAAGGAACAAATTAATGCATTGAGCCAATTTACTGAGTGTGGTGGCTCCAGGACTGGAGCGATCTAATGAACGGTGTAGAACACAGTTGAAATCCCCTCCTAAAATTAAACTGTGTGTGTCCAAATGTAGGAGAAAAGAAAGAAAAATCCCTAAAAAACTGAGCATTGTCCCAGTTACGGGAATATATATTAGCTAAGATTACTGGCATATTAAATAGCTGGCCTTGAATAATCAGGTATCTTCCATATTTATCTTTTAAGACGTTTGTCTCCACAAACTGATGCTTCTGTGTAGGAGAACAGCCACACCCCTAAACCTGCCGCCACTCCCAGAGTGATAAACGTGAGTAAAACCTCCCCTCCTCAGCTTATTGTATTCACTATTTAGCATAGGCATTTCTTGTAGAAACACAATCTCACCTTTCAATTTATCTAGATGAGAAAAAAACTTTGTTTCTTTTAATAGGGTTGTTTAAACCTCTAACATTCCAACTCACCAACTTAATGATAGCTTTTCCTGCATGACTATTTCTCATCATCCTCCGCGAAGTGATTCAAAATCTAGCCTCACTGTTGAAAAAGGCAAAGCCACCCAAAATTCTAAATTCCCTGAGATCCTCATTTCCAGAAAACTTTTTGTTAATGTTCTGCTTCAAGTTACTAGGTTTGCTCTGTGTTCCTTCTCTGTAAAAGGGGCTAGATGTTACTATGGTGTCATTTGACACATAAAGTCTAATAGAAATTCTCTATTGGCCAGGTGCATGATAAACCACCAACACATCAACGTGGTGGTCTTTTAATGTTCTATTGACAACCTGTTGACGTTGGAGTTACCTGGTTCCTCGTTCACCGGCGCCTGGACACTACCAGCAATGTTGTTCTTGATAAATGTTCTCGCTTTTTGTGGATCTTTGCGGCCTTCCTTCACCCCCATAATTCGCAAATTGGAACAATGTGATCTTGCTTCTAAATCCTCGCACCGCTCTTTTAATGTAACCAGCTCTTTTTTAATGGTTAGCATGTCATTTTCCAGGACAGTGATGGAATCTGAATGTTCGCTTACGTTTTCTATCTCCGACATTCGGTTTTCAGTAGCCTCCACTCTGGTTTTAACTTGTTCCAGAGCGTTGCTTAACTCTGCTTGTAACTGTCCGATCTGATCTGCCGGATTGTGCTGATGCCTTTTCATCTATCTTGGCCAGCAGGTCAACTTTAAGTGTGTTTATGGCTTGCAGCACGGCCTGTTGGTCGCCAGCTGCAGTCGGGGCCTTCTTTGTTGTTGAGTGAGAATCTGCGTTAGCCTCAGTCTCTGCGTCTTTTTTTCCATGTCTTTGAGGCAGCTTTTCCAGTCCCCCACATTTCACAAATAAAATGCTTCATTGTTACCTAGTATCTGTTACAAATGCTAGTATTAATACAGAGTCAGTATGTTTGAAATTTGTAGTTCCCTAGAGGAGCTTGCCTCAAACACGTCTTTACATGGCGCCACTCACACCGGAAGTCCAACTGTATATGCTATTATTGTGAAATAGAAACATCTAGGAGAAACAACAGCTTAGCCATGAAGTGGTAGACCACGCAAACTCACAGAGCATGGTCACCAAGTGCTTAAGTGCACAGTGCCTATCCTCTGATGAAACACTCACTAACAAGTTCCAAATTGCCATGGGAAGCAACACCAGCAAAAGAACTGCATGTTGAAGGCTTTACAAAATGGGTTTCCATGGCTAAGCAACTACACAGAAGCCTTAGATCAAAATGCAAAATTGCAAGGGTTCAGATGCCACTAAACTCTAGAGAAGTGAAAGCGTATTCTGTGGAGTGATGAATCAAGCTTCTCTTCGGTACCTGGGAATAATGCTCTGGGGTTGTTTTTCAGGGCTTAGTCTAGAACCCTTAGTGAAGGGAAATTTTAATGCTTCAGCAGACCAAGACATTTTGGACAATTTATGCTTCCAACTTTGTGGAAATTTAGGGAAAGGCCTTTTCTGTTCCAGCATGACTGATCCCCACTGCACAAAGCAAGGTCCATGAATGTATGGCATAAAGGGTGAGTTTGGTGTGGAAGAACTTGACTGGTCCTCAACCCTGACCTCAACCCCATCGAACACCGAACGAGAATGGACATTGTAAGCCAGACCCTCTCGTCTAACATCAGTGTCTGACCTCAAAAATGCTCTTCTGTATGAATAGCTTCCCAATTATACATCATTGCCTGTAGATTTAGAATGTTATAAAAGCTCCTGTATGTGTAAAATGTAGGTATCCCAGTACTTTTGTCATAGTGTATGTATCTCTCTCTCTCTCTCTCTCTCTCTCTCTCTGTCCCCATCTATCTTTCTGTGTGTTTTTCTATGAAAGTTTGTGTTTTTGAATGTTGAACCTATACAACCACTCACTAAGACACACATACACACACAGTGATAAAGTGATCTTACTGTAGTTTCTCCAGTTTACAGTGTGAATTCTTCAGTCCAGCAGAGAGCTGCTCCAGTCCTGAATCCTGCAGTTTATTTTTACTCAGGTTCAGTTTTCTCAGACTTGAGGAGTCTGAGCTGAGAACTGAGGACAGAACTGCACAGCTTTTCTCTGTGAGATTACAGTCACACAGCCTGGGAGACAAAAGACGATACATCAGAACGCTGACCCACACATAAAAAATGCACATATACACATGATCTCTCTCTCTCTCTCTCTCTCTCTCTCTCTCTCTCTCTCTCTGTATTTCATTTTGTTCTCTCTCTCTGTATTTCAGTGTGTTCTGTCTTTCAGTTCTTTCTCTCTCTCTATTTAATGTTGTTGCTGTTTTTCCCTGTGAAAGTTTGTTTTTGAGTGATCTATACAAACATCCTCTCTCTCTCTCTCTCTCTCACTCTCTCACACACACACACACACAAATATAAGTGATGATCTCACCTCAGTGTTTCCAGTTTACAGTGTGGATTCTTCAGTCCGGCAGAGAGCAGCTCGACTCCTAAATCCTGCAGCAGTTTGTTGGTATTCAGGTTCAGTTCTCGCAGACTTGAGGAATTTGAGCTGAAGGCTGAAGACAGAGCTGCACAGCTTTTCTTTGTGAGATTACAGTTTTGCAGCCTGGGAGAGAAATTATGTTACATCAGAACACTGAAAGCAAGCACGCGCACACACACACACACACACACACACACATGCACACACACACACACACACACACACACATTCTGTACGCTCACTCACAATCCTACGTACATACACACAAGCATACACACACACATAGTTGCACACAAAAACACACAATCGCGCACAATCACACAGTCCTACAGCCCCACAATCTCTTTGCATCCCTCTGTATGAATTCCCTTGTGTTCTCTCTCTCAGTTCTCCCTCTGTGTATGTCATTGTGGTCTCTCTCACATCTCTCTCTATGTATTATATTGTGTTCTCTCAGTTCTCACTCTCTCTACATTTCATTGTGTTCTTTCTCTCTCATTTCTCTCTTATTCCATTGTGTCCTTACTCTCTCATTTCTCTCTGCATTTCATTGTGTGCTTTCCCTCTCCTTTCTCTCTGTATTCCATTGTGTTCTTTCTTTCTCATTTCTCTCTGCATTTCATTTTGTACTTTCTCATTTCTTACTGTATTTGTTTGCCGTTGCTCCTATTTTTCATTTTTTCTGTCTTGCTCTCTCTGTGTTTCTGTGTTTGCTGTCTCACTCTCTATCTATCTATCTATCTATCTATCTCTCTAGATTTTTTTTCCATGAACGTTTGTGTGTGAGTGATCTATAAATATCTTACTTCAGGATCTCCAGTTTACAGTGTGGATTATTTAGTCCAGCAGAGAGCTCCTCCACTCCTGAATCCTGCAGTTTATTGTCACTCAGGTTCAATTCTCTCAGACTTGAGGAGTCTGAGCTGAGAGCTGAGGACAGAGCTGCACAGCTTTTCTCTGTGAGATTACAGTCACACAGCCTGGGAGAGAAATAATGATACATCAGAACACTGACATCACACACACACACACACACACACACACACACACACACACACATGGTGATAAAGTCATGATCTTACTCTAGTAACCCCAGTTTACATTGTGGATTCTTCAGTCCAGCAGAGAGCTGCTCCACTCCTAAATCCTGCAGTTTATTGTTACTCAGGTTCAGTTCTCGCAGACGTGAGTGGTTTGAGCTGAGAGCTGAGGAAAGAGCTGCACAGCTTTTCCCTGTGAGATTGCATGTGTACAGGCTAAGAAAGAAATGATGATACATCAGAACACTGACATCACTCATGCACAATTACACACATACACACAATAACACCCACACACTCTCACACACAAATGCACACACAAACTCTCTCTCTCTCTCTCTCTCTCTCTCTCTCTCTCACACACACACACACACACACACACACACACACAGTGATAGTGATCTTACTTCAGTATCTCCAGTTTACAGTGTGGGTTTTTCAGTCCATCAGAGAGCTGCTCCACTCTGGAATCTTGCAGTTTATTGAAACTTAGGTCCAGTTCTCTCAGATTCGAGGAGTATGAGCCAAGAGCTGAGGAAAGAGGTTTACCGCTTTTCTCTGTGAGATTACAGTTGTTCAGCCTGACAGAGAAATTGTTACATCAGAACACTGACATCACACACATACACACACACACACAAATGCACACTCACAAACACACACAAATGCACACTCACAGAAACACACATAAAGCCCCTAATTCTCTCTTTGCATCTTTCTTTGTATATTTCATTATGTTCTCTCTCTCCTCTCTGTTCTCTCTCTCCACCCCTCAGACTCTCTCTCTCATACACTGTTCTCACTCACTTTTCTCTCTGTTCCTTTCTCTCTCAATCTCTTATTCTCTCTCTCCCTCTCTCTTATTATCTTCTTCACTCTCCCACTGTTCTCTATTTCTCTTTCTCTCACTCTCACTGTTGTCTCTTTTTCTCTCTTTTTCTCACACTCTCTCTCTCTCTCACTGTTGTCTCTGACTCTAGGTGAATTGCTGTTTATCTTGGTGCTCTTTAAATATTCTGATCAATTTAACAATGATATGCTCATGTGAAGAAGCACAACTAACATCACATAAACACACACAAACAAATCTATAAAAGTATATGTGGTGTGTTTGAAGCTGATTAGAGTAACTAATGAAAATCATTATTTGAATTAAAGCAATCTCCTCCAGTGTTATATTAAATTAGTAAATAGTGCAGTAACACATTTATGACTGAAATACTCACTCAGCTTTTCTGGAGGTTTTGATGACTGGTAGCAGCTTTTGAAGGCAATAATCTGATGCATCATATTTACTCAGATTAAACACATCTTGCTCCGAGTACATCAACACAAACACCAGAGCTGACCACTGGCTAGGAGAGAGACTGATTCCACTGAGATGAAATTTATCATCAAAGATTTCATTTAAAATTATATCTCTTTTCAGGTATGTTTGAACTTCCTGAAGTAGAGAATGATCATTCAGCTCATTCAGACAATGGAACAGATTAATGGATTTCTCTGGAGAGGGATTTTCCCTGATCTTCTCTTTGATATATTGGACTGTTTCCTCTTTGCTGTGAGAGTTGCTTCCTGTCTGTGTCAGTAGGCCTTGTAAGACATTCTGATTGGACTCTATTGAGAGGCCCAGAAGGAAGCGGAGGAAAAGGTCCAGGTGTCCATTCTTACTCTGTAAGGCCTTGTCCACTGCACACTTGAGGAAGTCTGACATTTTGGACTGTTTGAAAATGTCAGACAGATCTGCTGTTAGCTGTTTTGTTCTATCCCTGCTGATGAATGAGAGAAATGCATATAAAGCAGCCAGAAACTCTTGAACACTCAGGTGAACAAAGCTGAACACCTTCACCAGGTATAGCTTAAACTCCTCTCTAAAGATCTGGGTACACACTCCTGAGCACACTGTCACTTCTCTGACATTAATGCCACACTCTCTCAGGTCTTCCTCATAGAAGATCAGATTGCCTTTTTCTAGCTGTTGGAAAGCCAGTTTTCCCAGTGCCATAATAATCTCTCTAGTCTGCTGAGGATCAGTGTCATGTTTTCCATGATACTTTTGGTCCTTGTGTTTGATCTGAATGATCAGGAAGTGTGAAAACATTTGAGTCAGAGTCTTGGGGATCTCTCCACTCTTTGATTCACCCAACACTTTCTCTGAAACAATGGCTGCAATCCAACAGAATACTGGGATGTGGCACATGATGTAGAGGCTTCTTGAGGACTTCATGTGTGAGATGATTGTATTGGCCAGGCTCTGGTCACTGATTCTCTTCTTGAAGTAGTCCACTTTCTGAAGGTCACTGAACCCTCGTATCTCTGTTACCTGGTTAATACAGTAAGGAGGGATCTGATTGGCTGCTGCTGGTCGAGTAGTTATCCAGAGGAGAGCAGAGGGAAGCAGATTCCCCTTGATGAGGTTTGTCAGCAGCACATCAATGGAGGCTGATTGTGTTACATCAAATAGGCTTTCATTGTTCTGGAAATCTAGAGGAAGTCGACATTCATCCAGACCATCAAAGATGAACATGACTTTGTAAGCGTTATAGTCTATTGATTTTAGTCCTTCGACATTTCGGAAAAGGCTATGAAGGAGCTCCATCAGACTCAATGCACCCTTTATCAAATTGAGCTCCCTAAAAGGAAGTGGAAATATGAAGAGAACATCCTGATTTGCTTTTCCTTCAGCCCAGTCCAGAATGAACTTATGTACAGAGACTGTTTTTCCAATTCCAGCAACTCCTTTAGTCAGCACAGCTCTGATGGGTTTGTCTTTAAATAAGTCATTGCAACTGATGGGTTTCTCCCCTGTTACTAGTTTCTTTGATGTTGTCTCAATCTGTCTGATCTCATGTTCCATATTGACCTCTCCACTCCCTCCTTCCATGATGTAGAGCTCTGTGTAGATCTCATTCAGAAGGGTTGATGTTCCATGCTGGGAGATTCCTTCATTAATTTCGCAAAACCTCTCCTCCATTTTTTGTTTATATACAGCGACCAAATCTGAGAAGTGAACACAGATAATACAGTGGTGTGAAAAAGTGTTTGCCCCCTTCCTGATTTCCTATTCTTTTGCATGTTTGTCACACTTAAATATTTCAGATCACCAAACAAATTTAAATATTAGACAAAGATTGCACAATTAAACACAGAATGCAGTTTACAAATAAAGGGCTTTATTATTAAGGGAAAAAGAAATCCAAACCTGTGTGAAAAAGTGATTGCTCTCTAAATCTAATAACTGGTTGGGCCACCCTTAGCAGCAAAAACTGCAATCAAGCGTTTGCAATAACTGGCAGTGAGTCTTTTACAGCACTGTGGAGGAATTTTGGCCACTCATCTTTGCAGAATTGTTGTAATTCAGCCACAACGGCGGGTTTCTGAGCATGAACCATTTTTTTAAGGTCATGCCACAGCATCTCAATCGGATTCAGGTCAGGACTTTGACTAGGCCACTCCAAAGTCTTAATTTTGTTTTTCTTAAGCCATTCAGAGGTGGACTTGCTGGTGTGTTTTGGATCATTGTCCTGCTGCAGAACCCAAGTGCGCTTCAGCTTGAGGTCATGAACAGATGGCCGGACATTCTCCTTCAGGATTTTTTGGTAGACAGCAGAATTCATGGTTCCATTTACCACAGCAAGTCTTTCAGGTCCTGAAGCAGCAAAACAGCCCCAGACCATCACACTACCACCACCATATTTTACTGTTGGTATGAGGTTCCTTTTCTGAAATGCTGTTACTTCTACACCAGATATATTGGGACATACACCTTCCAAAAAGTTCAACTTTTGTCTCATCAGTCCACAGAGTATTCTCCCAAAAGTCTTGGGGATCATCGAGATGTTTTCTGGCAAAACTGAGATGAGCCTTTATGTTCTTTTTGCTCAGCAGTAATTTTGTCTTGGAACTCTGCCATGCAGGCCATTTTTGCCCAGTCTCTTTCTTATGGTGGAGTCATGAACACTGACCTTAACTGAGGCAAGTGAGGCCTGCAGTTCTTTGGATGTTGTTGTGGGGTCTTTTGTGACCTCTTGGATGAGTCATCGCTGCGCTCTTGGAGTAATTTTGGTCGGCTGGCCACTCCTGTGAAGGTTCACCACTGTTTTCACCATTTGTGGATAATGGCTGTCACTGTGGTTCGCTGGAGTCCCAAAGCTTTAGAAATGACTTTATAACCTTTTCCAGTCTGATAGATCTCAATTACTTTGTTTCTCATTTGTTCCTGAATTTCTTTGAATCGCAGCATGATGTGTAGCTTTTGAGGATCTTTTGGTCTACTTCACTTTGTCAGGCAGGTATTTAAGTGATTTCTTGATTGAGAACAGGTGTGGCAGTAATCAGGCCTGGGTGTGGCTAGGGAAATTGAACTCAGCTTTCCAAAGATGTGATAAACCACAGTTAATTTATATTTTACCGGTTGGGGGGGTGACAAACATGCAATATACAAAAATATAATTTCTAATAGTTGATGCAGACCACAAAAACAACAAGATATGTTTTGGAAGTCCTGGAGGTTGTTTGGAAATGCCAAGTTTTCTGGATTATGAAATTATAATATAACAGTCTTACAGTTATGATTGCTGCATAAGTTGCATTTATTTGATACTGACTTGACAGAGGTAAATGCTTATGCAATCAAGTACTTTTGGTTGTATGTTTCTAAGTACTAATTTAAAATACTGTGCAGAGATCTGTTTTCACTTAGATCTGAAAGAGTCTATTTGTGTTGATCTGTGTAAAAACTATTTAAATCAACTGTGATTCAATGTTCTATGCTAATAAAACACAAACATTTCCAGGTGAATACTTCTCATACTTTACACAATGCATTATTTGAGAATTAATCAATGTTGTCATTCTATCTATCGCAGCCTTAATCAAAACTTGTAGATGTTCCTCTAATGGACCTTAGGCTTCGATATTTGGAGGGAAAAAATATATTATCTGTGAATTCAGAGAGAATATTTAAATCTTAAACATCATTGTTGTAAAATGTGGTTTTGATGCATTTTCCTATCATTAAAATATATGGTATCCTTCACATATATGTGTATTGCCTGATATTGTTTAGGTTTAATGTGATAGAAAATGTGTCCATTTACAGAACTTGTAATGAGTAGTTACTGTGAATAAGTGGTAAATAAAAAATGATGTGTACATTAAGACATTACTTTCAACAAGAGCAGAAGAGACTCCAGCCTGAACTGTACTGGTGCTGGAGCTGGAAACTATCTGACCTGGAGGAGAGATACATGGAAATATTAGAACTTTATCAAAGCTGCTTAAAATTAATAGCAATCAGTAAACTGTATTTCTGTATACCACCTCCAAAATACAAAAAAAAACTGACAGATGGTTATATATATATATATATATATATATATATATATATATATATATATATATATATATATATGTTTTTTTGTTTGTTTTTTTATTACATATGTGCATACACAATATACAGCTTAAATATGGCTTATATAACCTAAAACTCTTAGCCAGACAATCAGACCCATTAGTTTACACACAGTTTTTAAGCAATGTCACTCACCTCCTTGAACATTATTTATAATCACTGAGTGAATATTATTTCCATGGAGAACGGGAGCACAGATGTTTCCTCCTGTCTGAGCTGACATATTTGTCTGATCAGCACCGGTGTGAGTTGGAGTGGACGTTTCCATCTTCTAACTGAAAAGTCTCTGGTCGTCAAGTCAGGAAGTATACTTCCGTAATTTCTTTTAAATACAGTAACTATTTTTAATCAACTTGGATCAAAAATTTTTAATCAAAAATCACAAAAAGGCAAGTGCTCACCGAGACTCACTGTGTTTCCTTCCAAAAGTTTTCTTTTTTTTTTCCTTATTCCTCTCTTCACTAGACAGCTGCGGAGTTTGATTTTCACTAAAACCGGTTTGTACTCGTTTAGTTCTCTGAGAAGGAAGTGCAGAGCTTTCTCTTTAACTGTTTATCCTACAAGGGGTTGCAGTGAAGTGTCTCTCAGCCAATCACAGCACAGCTGCCTACCAAAGAAGAACAGGAAGAAAGAATAGCCAGGAAGAGAGAGAGAGAGAGAGAGAGAGAGAGAGAGAGAGAGAGATTGTGTGTGGGTGTGATTGTGCGTGTATGTGTGTAATTGTGCATGAGTGATGTCAGTGTTCTGATGTGTCATCATTTCTTTCCTAGTCTGTACCGATGTAATCTCACAGGGAAAAGCTGTGCAGCTCTTTCCTCAGAGTGTTACGTGTTGGTCTAGGGTGTAATGAATCTGGGGGCAAGTGAAGGGACAAAAAGAAACCCACAGCACACAATGGTCTATGTTCAGACTATTTACATATATTTAGAACAAAGAAAGAATTGATACAGCCAATAATTGTTAGCGAAAAGTCAACCGATCTGCTATCTCTCCAGGGGTAAGCAAAGGGCAAAACACACACCAGCCTTCAGCCGCTCGTTCGGCTTTTTTGCCCTCAGCAGCACCCCAGGGGCGGGTCAACCCCGCGGGTTTCCGCCCCTATTTCGGCCGTTCCTCAATGCCATTGGTTTCGCGCTCAGGAAGCCAAGTACGGATCTGATTGGTTCTAAGACCGTGACGTCAGATATCTGAAACGTGTTTGAAATCTGCAGCTGAGTCGACAGAGGAAGAAAACGGATCCATAATCTGAAAGATGACAAGGTATGTTTCATTTACGTTTAAAACAGCAGTTTTGCTTAGATTCCACATAAAGAAAGAATTTGTAATATATTACTAACATTGCTAGTCTAGTTCGGTTGATTTAACTAACTTTGCCCTGTTTTTTCTGAGGTTTTGACTCAGCTAACTTGACATGCTAGCCAGTAAACTGTTGAAATAATGAAATTGCTGTGTTAAGTGTGACTTTTTGGCTTCACCTTTTTCTCTTTATAGATGCATCGTAGAAAGGGTAGAAAGAGACCTAGAGTAGAGGTATACAGATAGTGAGACTATACAATGTAGATCAATGCCCTCAGAATGTATGTGTAAATTAGGTTGCTTGGAAAACAACTCTCAGTGTAGCGTTATTGGTTTTTAGTGGTTTGTTATTGACTTTAATTGACTTCTTCTAAGCATATGTGTGTGTGTGTGTGTGTGTGTGTGTGTGTGTGTGTGTGCGTGTGGGTGTGGGTGTGTTCTGAAGTAAGGTTAGGTTAAGCAGAGACAAAATAGAGGATACATTTCCTATTTTCACAATTTTTGCCATGATGATTCTTCTCAGGTCCCCTCCAGTCAGGATGTGGGGAAATGTGCTGAACATCCAGGGACTGCACAGGAACCACAAGTTGAGCTATGTTCTTCACGTGCAAGTTAATGATTTTATGCACATATGCACCTAATTATCCTGGAATACTATTTCACATGGACATCAGTTAAACATTATGAACTACTACCATGTGCACTGTGGGCAAAACAGAGTGTGCATATAGTATGCAGATATTAACCTAAATGTTTATCAGTCTGTTCAGATACAGTAAAGTTGTTACTACTCTCAGAGCAGCATCAGATACAGTGAAGTGATCACTACACAGTGACATGGTTACTACTCTCAGAGCAGCATCAGATACAGTGAAGTGATCACTACTCTCAAAGCAGCATCAGATACAGTAAAGTTGTCACTACTCTCAGAGCGGCATCAGATACAGTGAAGTGATCACTACACAGTGACGTGGTTACTACTCTCAGAGCAGCATCAGATACAGTGAAGTGATCACTACTCTCAGAGCAGCATCAGATACAGTGAAGTGATCACTACTTTCAGAGCAGCATCAGATACAGTAAAGTTGTCACTACTCCCAGAGCAGCATCAGATGCAGTGAAGTGGGCACTACTCCCAGAGCAGCATCAGATACAGTAAAGTAGGCACTACTCTCAGAGCAGGATAACATATTTGAATGTGCACTACCCTCAGAACTGCATACCCTAAGAGCAGGACTGTATGTTATAAAATAGGGGATACATTTCCTATTTTCACAATTCTTACCATGATGATTCTTCTCAGGTCCCCTCCAGTCAGGATGTGGGGAAAGGTGCTGTACATGTAGGGACTGCAGAGGAACCACAAGCTGAGGTATATTTTTTAACTCTAATTTAAAAAATAAAAAAAAATAAAAAAACATTTTTCAAATATATTTTTTAGATATTAATAGATTTGAATCGATTTTAGTTTGCAAACATACTGCCGATACAATGAACAATGCATTTTTGCCCAGACAAAGTTATTGTATTTGTTTGCCAAATTCTGATTCAGCTTATTGTTAATAAAATTTTACAATTAGTCCAGTATAGATGGAGATGCACCAGTTGGTACTTCATCTGCAAAAAAAGTGTTCCTGGTGGAATCCCTTCTGAAGTCAAGTAATTTCAGAGAAAAAAGAAGGCATAATCGTTTTTATTCTATCCTCATTTTGATGACTTGTCGTGTTCCACTAATTGATTTTTTCATGTCACTTGTAGGTATCATGTCAGCTTGGAAGAAGTTAAATGTCACATTGGTCCCCCGGAGTTTCTGTCCTTAAATGGGCTTATATCTTATCTTCGGACTACGAAATCCTGCCAGCTGTAGGCATAATCCCTCCTCCCGTGACCTGTCTCACTTCTATGTGTTCAAAATTAACAGAAAGTATTCACTGCATCCATAGTACATGATACCCAAAGGGACATTCAGCCTATTTTTCAAAAAAAATAAATAAAAAAAAAAAATTGTTAAAATGTAAAAAAGTCATTCAGAGTGTTTTGATGTGAAATGGTTCATTGTACAGAAATTTTCCTACTCTGATTTGACTTGACGTGATTGGAACCAAGGATCACAATGTATACAGTGCAAACATAGCATATACATTTTATTTATTATTCAAAACCTACCACTGAAACTCTTCTTCGTTTTTTATATGGAATGTTGATGGGACTATTTTGCCTCACAACACCCTGCGTGTATCCATCCTTGTATGGATTTTAAGGCCAAAATCTCAAAACTGTCATAAAACAATGTCTCAGACATCAGGCAGTGAATTCATTACCATTTCATCTAAAAACTTTCTGTGAGGGAGCTTTTAGAGGTGGAAGTCTGGTTCCTATATGAACAATCCTGACTTAAGTTTCTCTAGAATGGAGCACTTCACATCAAACCACTCTAAATGACTTTGCTCACATCTTAAAAAGTAACTACACCCTAAGACTTTCTTATTTTTTTTAACAGCAGAATTGCACTGCTCTAGAAATCTGAAAAAAATATGACCCTTGCTTGAAACTGTAAAAATAACACTTTTATTGTGGTCAGTTCCGCCTCTGGTTCAACTCTGGTCAACCAATGTTACTGCCCCCTGATGTCGCCCTGCTCATGCCACACTCATAAATGTGAAAGCATAGGAGCTGAGAGCGAGGAGAGAACCACACTCACGTGCTAAGCTAAATACCCCCAGCACCGCCTCAGAAGGCTGCAATATTCCAGATGTCTATAACAACTGGAAATAACCCAGTTAATTTAAGCTTAGTTTGTAATAAAGATGTTTTGATTAGCACATTTACTGATAACGTTTAACGTATGAGTAGGTAACCTGAAGGACCGATTTCTTGCAAGAGGTTTCATGCAAGTCTCCGTAAAGCTGCCGGTGTTGCATCCTATTCACGTTTCCCTTCACTACTCAAACTCTCGGGCATGACTCACTGAACAGAAATCAGCGGCAACACTAGAACTATGGAAAGCGAAATGGTTCAGGAAAGGCCAACATTATATGGCCATTGTTACTGACTGTGTCAACTTTTCGTCTGTACAGCCTTTCTTGAACTTTTTTCTTTGTTATATCGAATATGGATCTGCTGAACAGATAATTAGAAGCTGTCACAGTTTTAGGGAATGTCCTACTGTTTCGACACCTTTGCCGCTTGCTGCTAATCATTTTCCTGCCACTATGTTAACTCTTCGGCGGCTTGAGTCAGTGGCTGATACTGTTAAGGCTCAAGACAAACTGCCTGATCAGAAACACCTTCCCTCGTCGAAGATGGGGATGGTAGTAGAGAAAAATCATCAGCTTTGTAAGACCTCGAAGTTGCAAAAGTGCTATTTGATTCTGTCTCTCTCCATATTTTCTGGTAACTAATGTTACCTATAAAAACACAGCAGCCTAGCCCACCCGGTGTCCCTCACAGCCCCACCTCCAAACTTGAACATCATCCTCCCATTTTTGAGCATTTTGCACAGATGAGCCAGGGGTGGAGTTAGCCGAAAATAGTGGAGTGTAGTTACTCTTTAACTACTGAATTATAGAGAGATTCCCCTTTAATGTACATGTAGCCAGTTGAAAGTTTCAGTTCAGTTTATTTATTTTATTTTTTAATTGAATTATCAGTTCAAATATATACTCACGTGAATCTGAAAATTTGGTTATTTAATTATGTTTCTGAAATAACGATTCTTCCTCTTTCTGAGCCTATAACATCTAAAGGAGTATTATCAGCCCATCAGCAGGGTCAATGGGCGGGACAATAGTAGAAGGGGAAAAGAGAAAAGAGAAGAAAAGAAAGGGAGAAAAAAAATAGAGAGAGAGACGAGAACACGCAGGAAAAAGAGCAGGGAGACGTAGTGAACTAAATGGCGCTCGTAGATTATATATGCGACGTAAAGTATATTTTGTTCGAGTGAACGACTGTCTGAACGTTCTGTGAGTACCGTCTAGTGCAGGGTTGGCGAATAGAGAACCCATGAAGGAGTTTTGCACGCAGTTCGTCGAATGTTTAAAGTAAGAGCTTAGCTCGATAAGCTAACTCTGCTGCTCAATGTATCGCCCGTTGTATTGTTCATATGTCAGGCTGTAGTAGGCTAACTCAGGCTGCTAAGGGGCCCCCCAGCTCTATACTCTGTGTGTTTTTACGTTAACTAGCTCAGTAAACGTAATTCCCCTGTAGTGTGTGTATTATTGTTGCCATCTCGAGTCTATCAGCATACAGACTTTCCA